TGACACTCGGATCAAGAGCTACTTTATTTAAAACATTTGGCCAGGCATGGTGGCTCATGCGTGTTATGCCAACACGTTGGGAGACAGAGGCAGGAGAATCACGAGGTCAGGAGTTCAAGACCAACTTGACCAACATGGTGAAACCCCGTCTCTACTAAAAATACAAAAATTAGCTAGGCATGGTAACGCATGCCTGTAGTCCCAGGTACTCCAGAGGCTGAGGCAGGAGAATCGCTGGAACCCTGGAAGTGAAGGTTTCAGTGAGCCGAGATTGTGCCACTGCACTCCAGTTGGGCGACAGAGCTTTGTCTCAAAAAAAATGAGGCCAGGCACGGTGGCTCACACCTGTAATCCCAGCACTTTGGGAGGCCAAGGTGGGCAGATCACGAGTTCAGGAGTTCGAGACCAGCCTGGCCAATATGTTGAAACCTCGTCTCTACTAAAAATACAAAAATTAGCCAGGCGTGGTGGCAGAAGCCTTTTTCCCACCTACTTGGGAGGCTGAGGCAAGAGAATCGCTTGAACCCGGGAGGTGGAGGTTTCAGTGAGCCGAGGTCACACCACTTCACTTCAGCCTGGGCAACAGAGCAAGACTTCCTCTCAAAAGATAATAATAATAAAATAAATTTTTGCAGGGCTGGGAGCGGTGGTTCATGCCTGTAATCCTAGCATTTTTGGAGGCTGAGGCAGGCGGATCACTTGAGGTCAGGAGTTTGAGACCAGCCTGGCCAACATGGTGAAAGCCCATCTCTACTAAAAATACAAAAATTAGCCAGGCGTGATGGTGCGCACCTGTAGTTCCAGCTACTCCGGAGGCCGAGATGGGAGAATCGTTTGAACCCGGGGCTGGGGGACTGAGGTTGCAGTGAGCTGAGATTGCACCAATGCACACCAGCCTGGGCGACAGAGCGAGACAGTCTCCAAAAATAAATAAATAAAATAAATATATATTTTTTCTTAATGCTTATCACAAGTGCAATTTTACCTTTGTAGAATTAAACCGTTGTTTCTGAGTTAGTCTCCTCTTGTAGCCTATGGCCTCCATGATAGCAGGGACCAAGTCTAGCAAATGGTTAACTAAGTGGTTTTTGTGAATGAATGATGCCTTTGCAACCTTCGTTTGAGATCTGTCATCTTAACGTCCACTGAGTACAGATAAGGAAACAGGCCCAGAGTTTTGCTCTGCAAGACAGCAAATAAAGGACACTCTAGTCAGGTCCTCCCTCCCGAAGTCTTCTTCCCACTCTGCCCTGCCCTGCCGTGCCGTGCAGGACTTATGGGAAGGGCGCTCCAGTTCAGCCGCTATAGACCTGGGAAAGGGCCGGGCCACAGGTCCGGACCAACCCAGAAGCAGCACCTAGACCGGTTTACCCGGTTTCAGGACCTTGGGCGAAGTCCACCCGCCCGGGGGCAGGGACGACGCAGGCCACGCCGCGGCCCAGTTGCTAGCCAGGCAGGGCAGGGACTTGATCTTTTTTTTTTTTTTTTTGAGGCAGAGTCTCGCTCTGTCGCCCAGGCTGGAGTGCAGTGGCGCGATCTCGGCTCACTGCAAGCTCCGCCTCCCGGGTTCCCGCCATTCTCCTGCCTCAGCCTCCCAAGTAGCTGGGACTACAGGCGCCGCCACCACGCCCGGCTAATGTTTTTGTATTTTTAGTAGAGACGGGGTTTCATTGTGTTAGCCAGGATGGTCTCGATCTCCTGACCTCGTGATCCGCCCGTCTCGGCCTCCCAAAGTGCTGGGATTACAGGCTTGAGCCACCGCGCCCGGCCGGGACTTGATCTTACCAAGGAAATGTGAGTGAGAGGCTTAGCGTTGGAGGTGGGTAGGGCGTCACTATGCGGGGCCGAGCCATCCTGCGTCTATCACGCCCAAGGGCGGGGCATGCAAATTGACTCCCGCCTTTGGCTTTTCCCTGGGCTCCGCCCCCGCGCGGTGCAACCCGCGACTTCCAAGAACTCCCCGCGTGGTCAGTTGCTCGGGCCACGCCCCCTTCCCGTACCCGCCCTGCTTGTCCCAGGGAGGCGGGGGCAGAGCTTGCGGCGCAGCGGGAAGGCGGAGGCGGAGGCCGCGCCCAGGGCCTGGGGGCGTCAGAGGCGTGGGGAAGTCGCGGCTTCTGCACCGCCCTCGGGGGTTCGGCTCCCAATCAGGGAAAAAGGGCCGAGAGAATGAAAGAGTAATGGGACTTGCCAGAGTTTGAGGCTCACACTACTCTGTTTGGCTTGGGGGTTACTGAAACCTCCACGTGTACTTAGGGAGCCCAGAGGAGCTCAGAACCCGCAGTGCTCAGGAAAACCTACACCTTCCCCGGTTTTTTAGCGTTTAGGGGAGGCCACGACCCTCATAGCCGTGTCTAGTGGAGCTCAGATCCACACACCTGTGTTTGGGGGAGACCGGATCTTCTCCACCTGTGTCCAGATGAGTTCAGACCCCCACGTTTGTCCAGGGAAGCCCAGACCTCCTCCACCTGTGTCCAGAAGCGCTCTAGGACCTTTCCTGTTTCCTGAGGCTCAGCCTAGGGGGTCATCCCACCTATGTCTGTGTTAAGGGGCGCTTGTGTCTCCCGAAACTTATGTCCAAGATAGCTGAGGCCTCCCCCCATCGTGCTCCCCGCCTGGCCCTTTGCTGAATCCCTTTCTCAGAAGAAACCCTCAGGGGCCCCAGCCCTGCTGCCCTTCCCTGCCCTGTCTTCGAGCCTCCTGGTCCAATTGGCCCCTCCCCCAGTACATTGTTGAGTCTTAGTTAAGACATAATCCCAGCATTCACTGTCCGCCCATCCCCCAGCTCTCCCGCACCTCAGTGTCTGGCCGGGCCCCCTGCGGTGCCGTCCTCCCAGTCGGCTGGCCACCTGACTGGCACCAATTAATTTCCTCCTCGGCCTGTCCACCCAGGGCCTCGGCCTGTCTGGTTGCCAGCTGCTCACCCTCAGCCAGCCCGCCCCCACGGGCTCCCAGGGAATTGCCAACAGTTCTTCCTGCAACCACCCCAACCCCATCCAGGCCACCCCACCCAGCACAGTTAATCAGAAAAAGCTGACAGTTAGGACCTGGAGGAGTGATCTGAAATCAGATGGAGGAGGGGTGGGTGTTAAACTTTCGGACCCAGGGGTGCTTGGGGTGGGGTGGGGTGGGGTGGGGTGGGGTGGGGGCATGGCTGGAGGGAGGCAAGGGATCCAGTTTTACCTAAGAACCCCAAATAAAAGGCTTTTGGCTTCCAGATGGGGACTGTAGGGAGGGCTGACCCCCTCCCACACACACCAGGCGGGCAAGGTGGAGCGCCCCTCCTCGGAAACTGCCCCCGGCCTGAGATGCGTCAGTGACAGCTGTGCCTCCCCAGCCCGCACCCAGCCGGTTTCCTTTTCCTGTGCACACTCTCCCGATGGGCTGGCCTTCAGCCTAGAGAGACTCCAGGGCACTTGGAAGGGGCTCCCCGGAGGGTCTTCCTGGACGAGGGGGAGGGGACGGGCTGGAAAACAATGGGGCTTCTGTGGCTGCAGGACGCCAGGCACTTCCTGTTAACCCTTTCTTGGGGTGCAGCTGCAGGGAGCACCTCCCAGGTCCTGCCTTATGGGGAGGGGGAGAGGCAGCCCGAGGTGAAATCTTGTTGCGGGGATTAACTGTTGTGTTAATTGAGGCTTTTGTGAGTGTGATTAGCAGGGGTGAGGTGAATCACACCTTTTCTCACTTAATGGAGTTACAGGGCTTTCTCTTCTATTGCTGAGGGCTGTGCAGTCAGGGACAGGGCAGGGCTAGCCTGGGAGAAGCCTGTGCACTGAGCTCTGAGATGTTCCAGGCTTTTCCCCAGATAGGTTACACCAGGATCTCCAGGGCATGGACAGGGATGGGGTCGGGGAACCCAGGCATCCTAGGTAAATCCAAGGAACAGCCATGTGTGCAAATCACTGTTCTAGCTGCCTTGCTAGGCTTATTTAGGGGCCACGATCCCTGAACCAGTTTCCCTTGGCTTGAGAATTACTCCCAGGGGCCTACCAGGAGGACACAGGCAGTCTAGGAACTCCCTAAGGGGCAGGAGTGAGCTGGGAGCCTTGGAAACAGTTTTTTCCTCCTGGGAGCCCTGGGAAGTTATGTTGGGGGAATTAGCTGCTGTGTTAATTGAGGCTTCAAGCCAAGTCCCCTCTGTTTACACAGAGAGTCTGAGAAATGCCCTCGGAAGATTCCGAGAGCCTCCAAAGGCCCCAGAGACTTTGCTTCTGCCCGGGAGGCTTCCGGTTTTTTACAGCTGAGATAACCTCCCCCATAGTCATGAGACTTAGTGATGCTTACGGCAGCCGCAGGCCCCGAAGCTATGCTGTACTTGGTCACTTCCATGCATTCACTTAACCCTCCCCATAAGCCTGGGTCAGGATACAAAGTAGGCACTTCACTCGTTTTTTTAGGGGTCTTGCTATGTTGCCCAGGATGGTCTTTAACTCCTGAGCTCAAGTGATCCTCCCGCCTGGGCCTTCCAAAGTGCTGAGGTTCTCAGATAAGGAACCAACTTCTTCTGGGAGCTGAGAGCCGCACCCCAGGTCTCCTTGCCACTCCTGGGCTACCTGTTTTCTCTTTCCTCACATCCAGGGTTGATCACTCACCAGGTTCCCTCTTAGAATCATTTGCCAAGTTATCTCTTCTCCCCTTTCTGCAGGATGAAAACTTCCCCAGAGGTCAATCTGTGTACCCTCAGTCCAGGGGCTGGATAAAGACAAAGTTGTTTGTTGTTGTTCATTTGTTTATTTAAATTTATTTATTTATTTATTTTTAGAGACGAAGTCTCGCTCTGTCACCCAGACTAGGCGCGATCTCGGCTCACTGCAACCTCCGCCTCCCGGGTTCAAGCAATTCTCTGCCTCAGCCTCCTGAGGAGTGGGATTACAAGCGCCTACCACCATGCCCGGCTAATTGGTGTATTTTTAGTAGAGATGGGGTTTCACCATCTTGGCCAGGCCGATCTTGAACTTCTGACCTCGTGATCCACCCGCCTCAGCCTCCCAAAATGCTGGGATTACAGGCGTGAGCCACCGTGCCCCACCCTGACTTGTTTATTTACTTGTTTTGTAAACATTATTTACTGAGCATGATCCAACAGCCAGACTGGAGAGGCTGCTGCAAGTCTCCTCCCTCTGCCTCCAGCCACTCCGCACTCCCCGTCCTAGCTGGTGTCTGGAATCAGCGGGGCCCTGGCAGAGGGCACAGGAAAGGAAATGGCTCATTGCTTCAGCCTTTAGACCCGAGGGCAGGGAGGGCCTGCCGGGCGGCCGCCTAGTCAGGGGTGTGTCAGAGGCCAGAGGGGCCGGGGCCCAGCAGCTGAGGCTTGGTAAGCTCTGGAGCCTGGGCTCCAGGCCAGCTTGCTGCTAACCTCCACCTGAGACCACCCCACCCCCAACCCCCTTCCTTCTCTCCCCTGCTGCGGAGGCGCGCCCTTCCGGAGTGAAACTTGGTTTGGTTTCTCACGACCCAGAAGGCTTGAAGCAAACCTGCAATTACTCACCGCCTGGTCTGTGCCGGCTGCAGCTCTCAGACTCAGGATGAGATGGCGGTAGGTGGGGTGGGGCTCCTGGGACCCTTTCACCCCTTCGTGCTGCTGGCTGGGGGAGGCCACTGAAGTTAGCGCGCTGCCTTCCAAGCATTCTCCAGACACCTTTCAAATCCCTGCGGACACTACCTTATAAACAGATACTGGAATGTTCAAAGTGCTGTCATGCTGTTTGGGACCAGAAACTCCCTCCCATGAGGGTTAGATATGAAGCCAGTTTGGAGGGGGAAGCTGAGGGTGCATGCCCCTGGGGCTGCTTCTCTTCAGTCTGGGAGGTTTTTTTTCTTTTTCTAAGACAGAGTCTCACTCTGTCGCCCAGGCTGGAGTGCAGTGGCACAGTCTTAGCTCACTACAACCTCCGCCTCCCAGGTTTGAATGATTCTCCTTCCTCCACCTCACGAGTAGCTGGGACTACAGGCGTGCGCCACCACACCTGGCTAATTTTTGTATTTTTGGTAGAGACAGGGTTTCACCACGGGTTTCACAAAGTGCAGTGGCTCACGCCTGTAACCTCAACACTTTGGGAGGTTGAAGCAGGCGGATCACTTGAGGTCAGGAGTTCGAGACCAGCCTGGCCAACATGGTGAAATCCTGTCTCTACTAGAAATACAAAAATTAGGCCAGGCGCGGTGGCTCACACCTGTAATCCCAGCATTTTGGGAGGCCGAGGCGGGCAGATCATGAGGGCGGGAGATCGAGACCATCCTGGCAAACACGGTGAAACCCTGTCTCTACTAAAAATACAAAAAATGAACCAGGCTTGGTGGCGGGTGCCTGTAGTCCCAGCTAGTCGGGAGGCTGAGGCAGGAGAAAGGCGTGAACCCGGGAGGTGGAGCTTGCAGTGAGAAAAGATCACGCCACTGCACTCCAGGCTGGGCGACAGTGCGAGACTCCGTCTCAAAAAAAAAAAAAAAAAATTGAGCCAGGCAAAGTGACTGATGCCTGTAATTCCAAAGCTTTGAGTGGCTGAGGTGGAAGGATCACTTGAGGCTAGGAGTTCGAGACCAACCTATGCAACATGGTGAGACCACCCCCCTCCCCTATCTCTGCAAAAAATTAGCCAGGCATGGGGGCGCACACGTGTAGTCCCAGCTACTCTAGAGGCCGAGGCAGGAGGGTGGCTTGAGCCCAGGAGTTTGAGGCTGCAGTGAGCTATGATCATGCTACTGCACTCCAGCCTGGGCAACAGAGCAAGGCCCTGTCTCAAGAAAATCACTTATTTGTGCATGTACATGGTGTATATGAGAACACTTGTTACATGTCTATAATGTAACCTCTCTGCCTTGCTTTGCAACTGTGGCAGGGGCAGGGCGGCAGGTGCTGTGATGAGGCCACTTGTATTGGGGGTGTTCATGGGAGGGTCTTTGTTCTCTGAGCACTAAGTGGGCACTGCTGTATCTTTGCACGCAGCCTGGGATCCTCATTGGTTCCCTTCCTTTCTCCCAGGCTTGTGCCTCTTTTTCTTGACTTTTTTTTTTTTTTTTTTTTCACCCAGGCTGCCGAGCAGTGGTGCCATCTCAGCTCACTGCAACCTTCACCTCCTGGGTTCAAGCAATTCTCCTGCCTCAGCCTCCCCAGTACCTGGGCCTACAGGCATGTGTCACCACGCCTGGCTAATTTTTGTATTTTTTGTGGAGACAGGGTTTTACCATGTCGGCCAGGCTGATCTCAAACTCCTGGCCTCAAGTGATCCATTAGCCTAAGCCTCTCAAAATGCTGAGATTACAGGTGTGAGCCACTGTGCCCGGCCTTTCTTCTTTTTCTTTTTTCTTTTGTTTGTTTTTTTTTAGAGACAGGGTCTCACTCTGTCGCCCAGGCTGCTGTGCAGTGGCGTGATCATGGCTCACTGAAGCCCTGAACTCCTGTGCTCAAGTGATCCTCCCACCTCAGCCTCCCAAGTAGCTGCGCATGCGCACTATAGGTGCACATCACCATGCCTGGCTAATTTTTAAATTTTTTTGCAGATACGGAGTCTTGCTATGTTGCTGAGGCTGGTCTCCAATTCCTGGCTTCAAGTGAGCCTCCTGCCTCTGCCTCCCAAAGTGCTGTGATGAGCTACTATGCCTGGTCATTGTCCCTCTTTCTCATGACTCTGGACATCCCTGGGGTAGAGGGTGGGGCAGGCACACACATCCCTCAACCTCCCAGTGGTTCCACGATGACTAAGCCAGCCCCGTCCCTGAGACTGGGCGGCTGGAGCTAGGATCCTCCCCCATGGCCTCATATCCCAAGCTTGAGCCTGGGTTTCTGGTCAGACTGGATGGGCTAGCTCGGTCTCCTTAACGCTCAGAGCTGCCTTGTCCAGGCTCAGCAGGTCCCACACAGCCAGGCACACCCCATCCCACAGGGCTCCTGGGAAATTCTCTGCCCCACCCTCAGGCTGCCTCAGACAGACTGAGGTTACCTGTGATTGTCCCAGATAACCCGAGTGATCGCATCCCCTGCTCCAGGTGACTCCCTCCCTGGCAGCTGACCTGTACATTTTGAAAAGCTGGGGACATATCTCAGCTAGGAGGGATATTCCTACTGTCTTCCCTGCTAGCCTGGCCACTCCCTAGACTGGACAGGTCCCTTGGCAGCTCTCCCCAGGCACCCAAGCAGCTCCAAGCCCCCTCTCGCTTGGTGTTCCAGGCCAGTGAGAATCTCACATCTTTTTTTTTTTT